TAGAATGTATTAAGTCTTTATTATTTGCCAGGCCCCTGCGCTAAGTGAGAAAGGTATTTTCAGCAAAGCCCTGTCCTCAAGAAGCTTACATTCCAGTGGGGGAATCTAGCACATAAAGGACAGCTGGAAAGAGGAAAGAGCTTGGAGGGAGATGTCCAGGACACACAATGGACACCTGGAGCCTAGCAACATAAGGCCAAAGCTAGCCAAAGAAGAACTAGCCCCTGCCCTCAAGAAGCTTATATTCTAACTGAGGAATTTTGTTGGATTTTTTTTTCATCACATTTATTGCTGTATGTGGCTTTTTTTTTGGGGGGGTGGATTAGGCAATGGGGTTAAGTGACTTGCCCAGGGTCACACAGTTAGTAAGTGTTGTGTGTCTGAGGCTGGATTTGAACTCAGGTCCTCCTGAATCCAGGACTGGTGCTCTACCCACTGTGCCACCTAGCTGCCCCTCTAAGTGGCTTTTTCATGGACCATATGAAGAGTCCAACTTACAGGCAAATGACTTACCAGTGTGGTGTGTTTGTTCCAGGATTATAGAAAAAAAAATTGATAGCCAATTATTCCAAAATCGAATTACTTGGACTTTTTAAGTTTCCTATTTATTATTATAAGAGATGTGGGATAGTTTTTTTTTCCCCTTTAGAGTACAAACTCATTAAAAAGGAGCTTGTAATGAACAATTTAATTAGATTGGTTTTAGCTTGCCTATAAGCTAAAGAACATATTAATATTCTAATCAAAAGTCTTTGGGAAAAATCTTTTTTATTTTAATGAGAAAGTCTTCTGTGTATTTTGTTTACTTTTAGAAATTCTAAGAAACCTTTAAAGAATGCAAGATAACATCCTAAGGAAAAATTACATCACTACAAGTCACTCTACAGTGTTTGCAGCAGGCTGACAATTCTCACCTGATAGACTGTAAATTTATTCAGCTGCTTAGAATCACTTTTTCCCCTATATTTTGAAGGGACAAAAACTGATATTTTTAGTCTTTTAGTTGCAACAGAAGGAGCTAGGTGACAGGGCTACAATTTTAGAAACCTCATTTCATGTATCACTTATTTGTCACGAGTGGCCATTCTGACAGATCAATGATCTACTTAAAAATAATCATTGAAGAATATGAACAGGGAAATAAGGGGTGCAAAATAAAGAGCCATGTGTTCTTATCCCTTTGGAGACACACAAAAACATGCTGAGGAAGAGCCTGCCCACATGGTGATACTTGGTTGTCTACATGGATTCTTCACCTGGGGTCTGTGAACTTGTTTTTTAAAAAATATTTTGATAACTATATTTCAGTATTACTGGTTTCCTCTGTAATCCTTTGTATTTTATGCATTAAAAACCTCATGCATTCATAAATTTCAATGGGGTCCATAAAATAAAAAAAAAAAGGTCAGAACCCCTGGCTAGGGGTATAGTCCTGAAAGAAAGAAAAAGTAGGATGGCACTGGTGGTATCTATTCTCAGGGGGCTACAAATAGACCTTTTGGGGCTCCCCAATGGATCAGGACTTAGAGTTGAAAGAAAGTTTACAGATTATTTATAACCAAAGCCCAGAGAGTCAAGTGACTTGCCCAAGGTAGTGACAGAGCTGGGATTCAAATCCAGGTTTTCTTCTATCGACACTGCTATGCTGCCTTCAATTGATCAGAGGACTAGCAATTGATGGATAGGGTGAGAGAAGCTCTCTTTACTGCTCTCCTAACCTTTCTCTGTGCAGATTCCCACCCTCCCCCTTTGGAACTTTACTCCCCAATCTCAGATCATGTTTCCTCCTCTACCCCACCTGGACCCCCTTGATGTTTCAGAGAATTGGGGCTTTGCCCTTTGGACCATTACCCAGATAGTCCTTTGATCCCTATAAGCAGAGGCATGGCGCTTAGAGAATACCCATACATTCTTCTGCAGGATTTTTTAGTCTTTCACTCAGTTATTATTATATCCTCTTATCCTGTCCCCTTTCCCTTCTCTGTCACCAACCCACCCCACATCCTCACATGGGAATTTGAGTCAATGAGAAGTAAGCCTGTCTCTACCAGCTCTCTAGCTGCAATTACGGACCCAGACCTGTGATATCATTGGCGTAGAGAGTTTCCCACAAGGGAACTTTCTGTCGGTGCATGTCCACACCTACTTTGTAACATATATAGTCTTATAGAACTGTCTTGGACCCTGAAAGGCTGAATGAGTGACCCAGAGAGGCAAGATTTGAACCCAGGTTGTCTTGATTCCAAGTCTAATTCTTCACCCAACACTTGTTCAGCCATTTCAGCCCTGTCTGACTCTTTGTGACCCCATCTGGGGTTTTCTTGACAAAAAATACTGGAGTGGTTTGCCATGTCATTCTCCAGCTCATTTAACAGATGAGGAAAATGAGGCAAACGGGGTTCAGTGACTTGTCCAGGGTCACACAGCTAGTAAGTGTCTGAGGCCAGATTTGAATTCAGGAAGATTCATCTCCCTGACTCCAGTCTTGGCATTCCATCCACCACACCATGCTACGTTTCATAAGGGATTATTTTGAGCTTAGTGGTATCTCCCTAGCTCTAGCAGAGTGCTGAGCACACAGTAAACACTCACCACTGACGATTGTTTTTCAAAGTGGTGATCTGCTTAAACTACGAGTGAAAAGAGTGTAATGAAGGCATGGAATCAGTATGAACAGTGAGGTGTGACTAGAAATGATGAGGCTAATTCCACACACAAATTAGTCTTCTCAATTCATGGACTGGCTGTTGCGTTTATAGAAACCAATGCTCCACCACAGATGGGGAAATTCTTATCTCCCCCACATCTCTCTACCCTCTCCCTCCCTGCCTGAAAAACAAAAACTTACCAAACCTGAGCACAGTTTGATTTGTACAAGGCTTTGGACTGAGAGTAATGGGGAAGCAGAGCCAGAAAGTAAGGATAAAATGGGAAGTCCTACCCAGACAGTGCACACGAGAACATTGCTACTCTATCCATTAGACCAGGGGTGGGGAAGCTGAGGCCTCGAGGTCACATGTGGCCCTCTAGGACCTCAAGTGCGGCCCTTTGACTGAATCCAAACTTCACAGAACAAATCCTTTTCTTAAGAGGCTGCAGATTCCCCACCCCTGCTAGGCCAATGGTGCTCAAGCTGCTAACCTGTTTTTAAAATATTTTAATATTTAATGTATTAAGGTAAATTAATATATATTATTCTATATATTACATTATAATATATTACCATATTGGCATGATTCAATTTTTAATAAAATCTATTTTAATATTACTGGGGGGTTTTATACTCCTGTACATTTTATTTTATGTATTTAAAAACATTATTTATGTATTTAAAAACATTATTTATGTATTTAAAAACATTATTTACGTATTTAAAAACATTATCCATAGGCTTTAAAGAATGTCAAAGGACCAGAATGTCCATAACACAAAAAAGTTTAGAACCCCTGTTCTATAACCAAGAATCTGCCCCCAAGGAACCTTATCATAGCCAGCCAAAATAAGGAAGTCCTGTAAAAAACTTAGCAAGGACAAAATGGGAACTCTGGCCCTGCAGTGCCCATTTCTCATTATCTGGGATGCCTCCTGTCTCCAAAGAAGGACAGATTCTACAGGTGGACAACCTGGGCTTGTAAAGGATGCAGCTCTGCCTCAGCCTCCCAACTCTGAGCCAGTCCACGGCAGGTTTTGGGCCTTGTGCCTTTCTCTATTTTATAAAGCTTCCCTATCAATGAATCCCAGTCTGAGGCACCGAACTTGCTGAGTTTTCTTTAGAGTAGTAGTAGTAGCAGCAGCAGCAGTAGTGGTGGTAGTGGTAATGGTAGTAGTAGTAGTCATACTGAACATTTATACAGCATTTTAAGGTTTGCCAAGTGTTTTACATATAGTATCTCATTTCATCCTCACAGTAGATTAAAGTGTCAATATGAATATGTTGGAGCATATGAGATTTTATTCCTTAGCTTCCTTAGAGTATACAGCCAAAAGTAACTATAGGCATCTTAGTTGCTTTAAAACACACACACACACACACACACACACACACACACACACACACACATACACACGCACGCACACAATTCCAAATTTCTTTCTAGAATGGTTGGACCAATTCCTGTCTTTCTGCAGCTCCTCTAGCATCAACCAGCCCCATCTTCTGCTACATTTGCTGGATATCAGCTAAAACCTTGTTGTTTTGACGTATATTTCTTTTATTATTAGTTATTTGGAACCATCTTCTTATGTTTTTATCAATTGGTAACTATTCTTCTGAGAACTGTTTGTTCTGATCTTGTTGACCATCTGTGACACTTTTCAACAAACATGTTTGACACTGTCAGGAGAAGGGACTGTGTATCCAATTTGAACATCACCCAGGAAGCTAATAATGTACCAGTAAAGAAAGTACAAAGAAGCAGGATAGCTAGATTTGCTTTTGTGGCATCTCACTTCTACTAGATCTTTTTCCCTTCTGAAGCTGATTTGTTTTGTTTCAGAAAAAAATGTCATTTTACTTACAAAATCATTTATTTAAAAAGTTTTATAGCAATTCATAATTTTCATTTGTACAATGCAGTTTTGGTTCATGTATTTTCCTAGTAATGGGATTAAGAATGAGCTGCACATGTGAGTTAGTAGACAAGCCCTAAGCAATTGCCTCAGGTACAAAGAGGTCAAGTAATTTGCCCCTGAGTCACACAACTGGTGAGTGTCACAGAAGATCTGAACTCATGATCCTAAGGCCAGCGCTGTATTCATTAAATTATGTTGCCGCTTAGCCATCAGGAGGCACTGTGGTATATACAAAGGAAAGAAGGATGATTGTAGAGTCAGGGGAGATGTGAGTTCAAATTATTCTTCTGGTAACTATGGGTAGTTCACTTAATTCATCTTTGTCTTGGTTTCCTCATCTGAAAAGGGGGGAGCAATAATATTAAAACTTTAAGTAAAAATGAAATATTAGTCATTAATTTCTTTTCTCTTCTTTTCTTTTTCTCAAGATGAAGCTGGCATAGCACCTGAAACTGATCTACCACCTAGAAGGTCAAAATGAATCTAAATTCTTCCACCCAAGAGACTATTAAAAGAATCCAAGATGACTGCCCCAAATCAGGAAGACATAGCTATATATTCATTATGGTTCCCACTTTATACAGCATCATCTTTGTTGTGGGAATCTTTGGCAATAGCTTGGTGGTTATCGTCATTTACTTCTACATGAAACTGAAGACAGTAGCCAGCGTTTTCCTAATGAATTTGGCTCTGGCTGACTTGTGTTTCTTAATGACTTTGCCACTCTGGGCTGTCTACACTGCCATGGAATACCGCTGGCCTTTTGGGAACTGCTTGTGTAAGATTGCATCTGCCGGCATCAGTTTTAATCTCTATGCCAGCGTATTTCTTCTCACCTCCCTGAGCATCGACCGCTACCTGGCTATTGTACATCCGATGAAGTCCCGCCTTCGGCGCACCATGCTCATGGCCAAAGTGACATGTATCGTGATTTGGCTGCTCGCCGGGTTGGCCAGCCTGCCTGTTGTAATTCATCGCAACGTTTTTTTCATCGAGAATACAAATATCACGGTCTGTGCTTTTTACTACAAAACCCACAACTCCACCCTGCTGGTGGGGCTGGGCCTAAGCAAAAACATTTTGGGCTTCTTGATTCCTTTTCTGGTGATTCTGACAAGCTATACTCTGATTTGGAAGACCCTGAAAAAGGCTTATGAGATTCAGAAAAACAGGCCAAGAAATGATGACATTTTCAGGATCATTATGGCAATAGTCCTCTTCTTTTTCTTTTCCTGGATTCCGCACCAGATATTCACATTTCTGGATGTCCTGATTCAGCTGGGCATCATAAAGGACTGCAAAACCATAGATATTGTGGATACGGCAATGCCCATAACCATCTGCATAGCCTATTTTAACAACTGCCTGAATCCCCTCTTTTATGGCTTTTTGGGAAAGAAGTTTAAAAAATATTTTCTTCAGCTCCTGAAATACATACCACCCAGTTTCAGATCTCAAACGACAAAAATGAGCTCCCTTTCCTATCGGACATCAGATAACTTAAGCTTATCTGCCAAAAAGTCCATCGCGTGTTTTGAGGTTGAGTGATAGGCTTGAAACATGGTGCTGGAGTGATCATATGAGCAAAACTAAAAAAAAAAAGTCAAGGGTTTACGTCCTTGGGTAGTACTCTGCATCTTTATTGAACATTGGCAGTTTTCCCAACTCTGATGAAAACATGCAACATGTTGATTGACATGAACAGCCTTTCTAAACCTCTGAACAAAATTCTTCATTCCTTCTACAACAAACAAAAAAACTTGAGAGACAGCATGGCATTGATGATAGAATACTGGACTTTGTGTTAAAAAGACCTGAGTTCTAATCCTGCTTTAGTCACTTACTAGCTGCATGGCCCTGGGAAAATCATTTGATCTTTCTGACCCTCTGGTTCCTTGTCCAAAAATGAGGTAGTTGGCTGTCCAACTGCAAGGTCCCTTCCGTCTCTAAATCTTTGACCTAATGAAATTTAAAGCTTCTCAAGCCAAGCTGAACACCATTTTCCAGAGGGTAGAAGACTGGATATTGTAGAAAGATGTCAAAATATGAGTCAGCCCTGCATTAACTTTTTAAAATTCTGGCGGCAAAATGAGATTCTTCTCTGTCTCCTTTTTCTATATTCTTTTGGGGTCCCCTATACCTTGCTTTTATTATTATAGGGAACTTTTAGCATGAAAACTCCCTCTACCAGTGTAGATGAGTGACTTGTCTGTAACTCAAGAGTTTTTGAGAGTTCCTTGGGAGCAGTTAGAAGTGACTTGCTCCTGAGTCAGAGGCCCTGCCCTCTCTCAACTATAATATTCCCCAAAGAATGCAAATGAGACTTGGAATAGGCTGTGAGGCTTCAAAAGACCCAAGCAGGAGAGGAGAGCAGGGTTACATTGCCACACTCAATTTCCAAAGTGCGATATTTGGGTTCTTGTTCGGGTTAAGTAGCATCTAGAGTTGATTTGTAAGTGGAACGCCAAATTTTCTTTTCAAGGCTCAGAAATCTTTTGTGAAGATCAGCTGGTGTGTCTTGAAGATTTGTCACTGCCAATGAAATTTTAGCTAAACTACATCTTTGTGTAAAAATGTGGTACAGTGTTCATATGCAAAAGATAAACTACTCATGTGTATTAAAGTATTACTCTGGTCCTGAACAGAAAGTGACTGTGTTCCCTGTAATACTTGTTTTCTTTTGTATCTAAAAATAAAAATGAGAAATCTGTCCCTTCTGACACAAATACCATGTCCCTTTCAAAACCTAAGTGTTTCTGTCTGCATGCTTAACTGTTTGCTGTTGTTCAGTTAAAATATGACAAAGCTATGACTACCATAAAATGGAACAATTTTAGTTTCATGTATTTTATTTTTATTATTTTAATATATTCATTTTTGGAGTTAAACACAACTGTGAATAAGTATGTACATAATTTGCACTTAATTATATCCATATTAATGTAGCTTATTGGTAACTTGGCAACTGCCATATATATGTGCTTTCATGTGAATGTGTATAAACACATATGTACTTATACACGCAAGCATATACCATCATTAGAAAGCTTTAGACAGTAGCCGGTTATTTACACTGGAAAATAGGAGCACCAACGTATACCTTCTTGAATATTCTAAATAGTTTTCATGTAACACGTAAAACTATCTTCTAGTGTTAAAATGTTAAATTTCTCTGCTATTCAGATTGTTTCCTTATGTCTGTTCTAAAAAAAAGTAGCATTTGGTGACCAAATATTGGAATATAACATTTTCTTTCTTTAATAAAAAAACATTGTCAAAAACTAACTCAACTCTGTTGCCATATTTTCTTTCAACCAGGATCAGTCATCACTGATGGGGAAAAAAATCAACCTAATTCCATCTTAGAATGCAAATGTGTTAATATTAAATCATATGGGAGCAGTTTATGACATTTCCCATTTTTGTTCACACTGCTACTAAGAAATTTCTAATCTTTAGTACCTTCTGGCATGTCATTTACCACAGAGCCATACAGATCATGGTAGACCTTTTAAAATGTACTTCCTGTTGTTAGCACACCTCATTCGGAGTACTTCATCATTTTTCTGAAGGCCATTCAGACCAAAAATAGCCTTATTGATTTTGGACAACAGGGTGAGTATAAAGTATGCATATTTTATGCGGGAATAGATCTGACCTTCATTCTTTAATATCTTAGGCTTCTTAAAGACCATAAAATTACTTATTTAACATCTTTCTATTAAAAATTACCAAGGGACTTTTATATAAGGGTATATTTATATGTAAAGTCTCAGAATCTATACATTTATATGTAGTTCATAAGCATGAGGAACACAGCATTGTGGTAAGAAAACTGTCTTGGAATGGAAGAACAAGGGAAGAGAATAAACATTAAGCACCTACTATGTACAAAGCTTTGTGCTAAGCACTCACAAATACTGTCTCATTTAATCCTCACATCAACTCCTGTGAGGTAGATGTTATTATCCCCATTTTACAATTGAGAAACAGAGGCAGATAGTGACTAAATGACTTGCCAGAAAGACCTGGCTTCAACCCTTGCCTCTGACACATAGTAAATAAATAATTAAATAAATGAATGAATGAATGAATGAATAAGTAAATAAGTAAATAAATGAATGAATGAATGGATAAATGAATAAATGGATAAATAAATGAATGAATAAATGAATAAATAAATAAATGAATGAATAAACAGATAAATAAGTGAGTAAATAAATAAATAAATGAGTGAGTAAATAAATGGATGAATGAATGAACAAATAAATAAATAGATAGATAAATAAATGAATGAATGAATGCATGAATGAATTAAATAAATTAATTAATTAAATAAATAAATAAGCAAATGAATAAACAAAGAAATAGAAAAATAGATAAATTTCAATTAATTGACTTGTGTTTCTTCTTTAGTGGGTTTTGGTGGACAAGGGAGGAAGAATAAGAATCAGGATCTGCGATTTCATGTGTGTGGGCAACTCCCAGTATGGAGACTCTCTCCACCAATGCAGAAGGGAAGATTTCATCTGTATCTGAGTCACAGGGAAGTTGCCTGGGGAAACTGAAAGGCAAAGTGGCTTCTCTGTGGTCACATAACCAAGGTATGTTAGAGACAAGACTCAAACCTGTGTCTTCCTAACTGCAAAACCAGCCTTCTGTTTTGGTTTTTTGTTGTTATTGTTGTTTTTGGTTGTTTTCTTGGAGTACTTGAATGATCATGAATGGGAGCTGAAAAAGAATTGGGCATTATGGTCTCAAAAGAAAGTCAAGATACAGGTCTTGATAGTACATGGGTGCCAATGGAGCCTAATGGGCTATCCTGAGAAATACAGAACTAGCTGTCTTATAAGGCATTCTAGCTAGGGGGCAGAGCCCAAAGTCAGGAATAGTCATCTTCCTGAGTTCAAATATGGCCTCAGATACTTACCAGCTGTGTGACCCTGAACAAGTCACTTAACCCTGTTTGCCTCAGTTTCCTCATCTGTAAAATGAGCTGGAGGAGGAAAGAGCAAAGCACCCAGTATCTTTGCCAAGAAAACCCTGAAATGGGGTCATAAAAAGTCAGACACAACTGAAAAATGACTGAACAACAACAAGATATGGATAATTGCCATATGGGTGCTATAAGTAATCAGCATAACCCAAGGGAAGGTGAAGGAAAGACTTTCCAATGGATAAAGCTGGGCCTTGTAGAAGATGGTATAGAGAGGATTTCTGTTCAGGTATGTGTTAGAGTAGATGCCTGTCTCCCAGGTTCCTCTCAGCTGGTTGTCTTTGAATCAACACTTTCCATATGCCTATAACTTTTAAAATAGGACCATAGATTTTACAGCAAGCAAGATACACAGAATACTTGTGAAACCAGTAAAAATATCATAATGTTTTAACAGACAATATGTTCACCAACTATGTTTGAATATGTCCTCTCCGTTAATGATGGGAAAGTCCACAGATATACAAAGAATATGAAATTATGGTGTTTATCATTAAAATATGCCACTAACCAGTCATGGCATAGACATCCGATTAGTGAATATTGACAGAATAGATATTTGGCATTCAAAATCCTTCATAAACTGCCCCCTTCCTACTTTTCTCTTGTTCTTACCCCTTAATCACACTAATACATTCTGCAATCCAGTGACACTGGCCTCCTTAAAGGTCCACCCACTCCCTGCATCTCTCAACTCTGGAGTATTTTCACTGGCTGTCCCTGCTCTTTAAAATTCTCTCCCTCCTCATTTCAACCTCCTGGATTCTGTGGCTTCTTTCAAGTCCTAGTTAAAAGTCTCACCTTCTAGAGAAGGGCATCATCTCTCCTTACTTTTACATGAATTGCTTTAATCAGGGAGTTTGGGTGTTTTCTCAACTTGGAAGAAATAGATTTTCAAATTTTATTTCTTTATTATTTTTATTTTATTATTCATTTTATGTATTTATTGTTTATTGTCAATGCCTCCTTTATAGTAAAAGAGCTTCTAAAAGAAATGATTAGATTAGATGGTCACCAATTTATTCTAAATTTTTCTGAAATGTAGTTATTGTCTAAACCCCCACTTTTCAAGAAGTTATGTTCTCAACATATGCTCCAAGGACCTTTCAAGGGGATTTTCAGAGTAATACTAAGACATTTAAATGTTCTAATATGGTAAATATCGATCAATATAACCCACATCAACTAAACCTTTCTTGGGGAGCCCTGAATGATTTTTAAGAGTGTAAAATGCTCCTGAGACTAAAAAAGTTTGGGAACTATTTATTCCTAATGGTAAAAACTGGAAATTCCAGGTTTCACTAAATCTTCCTCAGTTGATGTTCTGTGAAACCTTGGAATTTGTCTTCATAGCCCATCACTTAAGACTCAACTATTAGAGCCTCCATCTCCACTTTCTTCCAGATCAGAGACTTATTTTAAATATTTATATAAAATGAAAGTATAAACAATCTAAATTTAGAGGGGATGAGATTTTCATCTATGTAACTCTGTTGGAATGCCATCTACTTAGAGGCTTACCAAGTACCAAAAGGAAGGGTTGTGTCCTCCATAGGCTGTCCAGAGACTTAAGTTTTCAAGAGGAACAGTTAGAAAAAAAAATAAGAATAAGAAAAAGACTCATGAACTCAACCAACAGAATGTTGACAGTGATAAACAAATAGCTGAAAAACAGATTTGTTTACAGAAAAGGAAGGCTTTATGGTGCTAAATGAGGACCAAGCTGTTGCCACCAAATATTTCAAAAGGGTTATCCTTGAGAAATCCAAATCAATGCATTGTCCAAAGTTAGTGATTGATATCAGTTATGCAAAGGAATGGTTGAATATGTACAATATCACTGCAAGCTACAAAAGTTTAGCAACCAGCTAATACCTGACATGACCTAGAATTAAATATGCTAAAAGTTTCTTATATTTCGTGGACTGAGAGGTAACAAGTCTTTGTACAACAAATAAAGACTCCAAAATGGCCTTGAAAACTCAACAATAAACTATTAGAACCAGAGGATTAACACAGAACTGCCCTGTTGTTGTTGTACAGTTATTCAGTCATTTCTGACTTTTTGTGACCCCGTCAACATAACATCAAACCATAAAAACGTAAGGACAACATTTTTAATTGATGTTGTTTTACCAAATTCTCATAATCTTCTTACTGCATGAAGTGGAAATTTTTCAGAATAGAGTCCTGGCTGAAGTTCCCAAAATCCTGTGGGAACAGGACCAGGAGCACATCACCCCTATTGGCCTGTCTGTTACCAGAGCTCCACTAAAGCTTTCATTGAGCTTAAAAGAGTTGAATTTACAACCTAACACTTTTATACAATAAATACAAAGGGTAAAATACATTTTACCCACCTGTGCAACAGCCCAAAGAACATATAAGAGAATAAAAACAAGATAGTTACTTGTTCCAGGACCCTTTCTATCTGAACTCCATTAAATGATGACAATTCTTCTATGAAATAATAATAATAATAATAATAATAATAATAATAATAATAATAGTGCTTTAAAGTTTACAGAGTGCTTAGCCATGGTTTCGCTGGAATGTCACAGAAACCCTGTGAGTTTGGTACTACAGAAATTATGACCGTTTTACAGATGAGAAAACTGAGACAGTTACACAGCTAATATATGTCAAGGTGGCATGAATAGTTTGCTTAGGCATAGGAAGCATGCATTGATTTTTTCCAAAACATTCTATCTAGAGGAGTCAATTTGCATAAATCCCTTTGTGCTTGGGGCACAAGGTGTTCAGGTAGGAGCAACAACTATGTAATCTTCAGAGTATATGACAGGTGAGTTCTTATTAACTCCCCAAAAAGACTTTGTAGTTAATTCAAAAGTATTTTTCCTGTTTTCAGCCAAAATAAAGAGAAAACTTTTTTTAATAATAAATGAAAAATAAAGTTGGATTCTTTAAAAATTCAGAATATAACTATTTTGAAAGTACATTAAGGGTAAAATAAAACCTATGTCTTCTTGACTTAACCTTCCATTGTTTTCAATAATGCATACAGTGGACTTGATATGAGGAAAATGGCCATTTCACCAAAGGGAGCTCCTGTCTCTCTACAGATGAGCCAGCATGCCAAGTGCTGGGAAAGATTTGGGGCCCTTCAAACTCCTCAGGATTCTTGGCTCTGCTTTGAGGGAGCGCTGCCCAAGGGGCAATTTGGTTCTACTTACTTTCCTTGCCTTTGGAACTTAGCAAATGAAAGTTCTTATGAAACCAGATGACTGGTCTTTGAATCTATAGAATTGTGAATTTAGAGCTAGAAGGC